AGAGAGTCAGTCCTATATATACCACTCATGTCTTGAAGGAAGGGAACAGAACCAGTCCTATATATACCACTCATGTCTTAAAGGAAGGGAACAGAGAGTCAGTCTTACAGATACCACTCATGTCTTAAAGGAAGGGAACAGAGAGTCAGCCCTATATATACCACTCATGTCTTAAAGGAAGGGAACAGAGAGTCAGTCCTATATATACCACTCATGTCTTAAAGGAAGGGAACATAATCAGTCCTATATATACCACTCATGTCTTAAAGGAAGGGAACACAGAGTCAGTCCTATATATACCACTCATGTCTTAAAGGAAGGGAACAGAGAATGAGTCCTATATATACCACTCATGTCTTAAAGGAAGGGAACAGAGAGTCAGTCCTATAGATACCACTCATGTCTTAAAGGAAGGGAACAGAAAGTCAGTCCTATATATACCACTCATGTCTTTAAGGAAGGGAATAGAGAGTCAGCCCTATATATACCACTCATGTCTTGAAGGAAGGGAACACAGAGTCAGTCCTATATATACCACTCATGTCTTAAAGGAAGGGAACAGAGAGTCAGACCTATATATACCACTCATGTCTTAAAGGAAGGGAACAGAACCAGTCCTATATATACCACTCATGTCTTAAAGGAAGGGAACAGAATCAGTCCTATATATACCACTCATGTCTTAAAGGAAGGGAACAGAGTCAGTCCTATATATATACCACTCATGTGTTAAAGGAAGGGAACAGAATGAGTCCTATACATACCACTCATGTCTTAAAGGAAGGGACAGAGAGTCAGCCCTATATATACCAATTGTTGCTTTGAGGGATGGGCATAGGGAGGCAGTGCTATATATACATCTCATCTTTTGAGGAATGGCAGTGAGGGTCGTTCACAGATTAACTATTTTGAAATCTCCTTTAGTACCGTGTGTCAAGTATTAAAAGTATAAGTTTATACATTCGGTCTTGTTCAGCTGTTTTAACCTCTTCCTACCATTGTTGGTAAGTGTTGTTTCAGTCTGATGTATATACTGCATGTTATTGTTGATGATAGTGATATGACCCGTGCTCATGCACCCATTGCTTCTTACAAACACACCCTCTGGCAGGAAGCATACATTCATCAGCTGCAGAATTATGTGAAATATCCTGTATGAAGGCACAACGTGTGACAGAACATGCTGACTTACATACATTATGTACAGCGAGAATCTATCACACATCAGTAAACACTGAAAACTGGGGGTCAGACCTGGCCAATTACCATCATTATGTGTGATTCTATACATTGAACCTACCAAAAATATCTAACAATTATAGCCTACAGTAACAAGTAATGTCCAGGGGGCCTCATTGATTCCTGTCAGTGCTTTTACCAGGTCTCTTGCGGCCAGGCTCATTACAGATGAAAACTGACTCAGATTATTTCAATAAGATTCCATACACCACGTACATCATAAACGACAAAACCATTTCCAAAATTTCAAGAAATCTCTGCAAAAAAGATTAGCATATTCTGACGCAACATGCGTAAGACCAAAATAAACATATTCTTACATGACATGTGTATGATCAAGACAAACATATTCTTACATGACATGTGTATGACCAAGACAAACATACTCTCACATGACATGTGTATGACCAAGACAAACATACTCTCACATGACCTATGTATGACCAAGACAAACATACTCTCACATGACATGTGTATGACCAAGACAAACATACTCTCACATGACATGTGTATGACCAAGACAAACATACACTCACATGACATGTGTATGACCAAGACAAACATTCTCACTCATGACCTGTGTATGACCAAGACAAACATACTCTCACATGACCTGTGTATGACCAAGACAAACATACTCTCACATGACCTGTGTATGACCAAGACAAACATACTCTCATGTGACATGTGTATGACCAAGACAAACATACACTCACATGACCTGTGTATGACCAAGACAAACATACTCTCACATGACATGTGTATGACCAAGACAAACATACTCTCACATGACATGTGTATGACCAAGACAAATGTACACTCACATGACCTGTGTATGACCAAGACAAACATTCTCACTCATGACGTGTATGACCAAGACAAACATTCTCACTCATGACATGTGTATGACCAAGACAAACATACACTCACATGACCTGTGTATGACCAAGACAAACATGTTCTCTCATGGGGTAGGTATCTGGCAGGTCTTCCAGGATGCCAGACCTCAGTGAAGCTGAGAGGCCGTGAGCCGTACGCAATGATTAATGTTCAAGGTGCATGCCTTATCAACTGGTCCTCTGCTTGTCCAGTATCTGCAGACAGGAAGTGTCAGCACCTGCACATGACCTGGCCATAACAATAGGTCAACAGGACCCTCCGATTTGCCACCTGATGAATTACTTCTGTTATGCTATAGGTAGAGCTGCCAACATAGATAGACATCATGGAAGACCTGTTCACACAATTATGGTTAGGTGAAGGCTATAGCGGCTTCTGGACAGATTAACTTCAGAAGTTCATGTGCATAGAACTCTGACATCCCGAATGATACGTAAATTAAATTTTGCCATCACCAGCTGTCATTTCAGTATGACCTGACACCTCCCATTGCAAGGATTATTCAAGCAGGGGTCAGTGCCATGAAGTGGATAGAGGTATCACTGGATTTCAACTCCATCATACATCTGTTGGATGTCAACCATATGTTAGAGGCACTGAACTTTCTGTTTTATAATCATATTTAATTGGATATGTTTGTCCTATAGAGGTTGAAATGTCACCAGATTGAAGTTCATATAACTTTCTTACCATGGTGGCTAGAGGCTTGTTACTTTCCGTTTCAAAATTGTATTACATGATACCACAATAACTAGGTAGATCCAAAATTTTCAAAAAGACGAAGAGACTAGCATTTTTGTTAATTCATAATTTTATTTTCATTTTTGTTCATTAAACATTGAAACATTTGAATCACATGAAGTTTAAATGTTTGGTTGGACTTTATACTAGATATTTTTCATGAAATGTTGAAGGAAGGGAACTCACACATAGGTTTCCTTCATCTATTACTCATATGTTAGACAGTAATTTGATGTGAGGCTATATGTGTTTACAAGTCAGGCAGGCGAGAATGAAAGTCTAATAAATAAAATAAAAAAATATTATGACCTTATGCATGTATATTCATGAACTGAAAGTGATTGCTGCTGACATTTATGTTTTCATTATACTACGGTAGTATCAAGTTATCTGGATATATAAATGTATAATGTTTGACGCTCACATCATCTCTATCACTCATACCTCTTTTCCTGTGGACTGAAAATAACAGCTATTTTACATCACCTGAATAGAGCTTAGTAATGTCTTGTCAGTTGTCTGTCTAACTGTGCAGCTGCAAGCACCACCTCCTCTCATGACCTTCACATATGTTACTCAAGTTTACTGCAGTTTTTACACATTTCCTCTGAAAAAACTAAAATTGTTTGTCTGAAACTGCTTACAGCATTCCAATCTTTTTAGATGTGGGTGCTTTAATATAATTGTCACCTTTGACAAACATACGTTACCATTTCTGCATATATCATTATGTCAGTTGATATTGAGTATGTATGCATATTAATTAATTTCAGTTTGATGTTTCTCACCTTCAGTCATTGACCTTCCGGACTTTTTTGGCTGCAATGAAAATGATTGTTTGACCTTCAACTTTGGGTATAGAGTGGCCATGTTCCATATACTTAGCTGCCCTTCTGTTTTATGAAAGAACCCATTTTTCTATTTTCTTGGTGAATATGAGCACCATATTGGATAAATAGCAGATTAATACGTAATTCTGATATTTGTTTTAAATTTGTCTGCAACACAATTTTATACTTACACAACAACATACAATATTTTCACAAACAGTTGAAGCATAGATGATATGAGTTAACCTAGACCTTAATAAGACGATGCTCAACATTTGCCTGAGTTGAGGAATATGTACAGTTTCCCCTCAAGTAACTCTCAAAAGATAGCTAAATGTTTACTTTGAACCTGTTCAGTTTTACTCAGTGTCAGATGACAACACATTTTGACATTAATGTAAATAATTTCATGTCAGCATTTGAAAGTGAATATGTGCAATGCTACTCCTAGACGTTGTGTTTGAGAGAATGCTAATGTGATAGTATGTGAGAGACAGAGAGATGAAACACAACCAAGAACAAGATATCAAAAAACAGAATAGGAAGTAATGAAAATCAAACTAGACTACTGCCACCTTGGCTATCAGATTGCATGAGGTTGCTGGCAGTGGTAACTGGGTCTACTGCCAGCCATGACTACAGTGACGGGAGAGAGCATGTGGCAACCACTTGCTCCCATGGTCTGACAGTCATACTGCTCCCCAGCTTCTAGCTTGTGCTGCATGCCTGCTGCCTGCCTGCCTGCCTGCCTGCCTGCTGCCTGCCACTAGCAGTACTGAGCTTGGGGACAGTCAGTGAGAGAAAGAGAGATTGAGTGGGCTGAGTGTGTGGCACAGGCTAGGAGTCAACAACACATACCGCCACAGAATACCTCAAGTAACTTCATTTCCCACTTGCAGCAGTGTATACTGTAAGTGACCACCAGTTCCTGCAATCAGGTGTGGCTGGAGAGTTACACACCTTTTGAAGTGCTCTATCAGCTGTCTGCCAGATTCTTAGTTGGATACTATCGGTGATCACACCACACTGGTGTTTTGTGTTGTCATATGACACTGAGCTATGCCTGTCACTGGATCCACTTCATCTGGTCAAATGGGAGATTGTGTACAAACCACTGCCACCAAATCTCGCAGCAAAAGTAGCAGTGGTAGTAAAACAGGAAGACAAAACAGCAAGAAAGAGTCAAAGTCTAAACGTGGAGGCAGTATGAAGAAGAAAGACCCCCTCCGATATGCCATCAGAGGTAAGCATTACTAAACAATTTTTCACACATCATTTGTTTTCTTTCAGAAACTTAGCAAACCACATGTATGCCAAAGTGTATGAAACTCAAGAGGACTTGTGCCATAAACGTAATGAAATCCGGGTAGCAAACATGCAGCTTGCTGGAGTTCGAGCACAGGTAAGGTAGTTATTAGATCTTCTCAAGTTTCCACACCAACCAAATGACAACCAAATGCAGGGTTTACACAACTGCACACACTATATACCATTCTGATAATAGTTGAAAACCACAGTCCACGTCCTGTACATATATCTAGCAGGTGTGCATATATGGTCAGCTGGCCATGTGCATGGGTAGACACACACACACACACGCGCACGCACATGCACACACACACACACACACACACACACACACACACACACACACCTTCACGCACCTTCACGCACCCCTTCACACACTCCTTTTCTCACTCACTCACACGCGCGCGCACGCACGCACACACGCACGCACACACACACACACACACCTTAACCACCACCAACACACACACACTTTTCAAGACACCTCACATATCACAAGTCTGTTGCTCTCACCCTTTTTCCAGCAGCCTGGCTCTACTGCTGAACTACCCATCTCAAACACCTGTTACACTCAAAGCTGGAGATCTTTCAGGGAATAAGTACTGTATCTTTTCTATTTGCAGTGGTAAGTGATGGTTAGGGGTCATCAATGAAAACTTAACTTGAGCTAGCTATGGCAGTTTATTCCAGTTTTAATATACACTTACAGAGGATTCCTTCCCTTCTTTTGTCACATGTGTAATGTAGCTCAAACCTACCAAAGACCTAAAATTAGTTACCATGGCAATGTTCTCTCTATGAAAATAGATGCTATCCAATGAGTAGAGCAACTTCCTTCTTGCAAGATACATTTCCACCATTATCAACAAGTTTAGACATCTTATCATTGTATGATATGTTCAAGCTTAACACTGCAATATCATGCATAAAGAATTCTCATACACCAAAGTCATAAAGATATAGGAATAACTAGTCAGTTTTTCATAAGTCAGTGTTCCAAGTTTGACCATTGCATGATAAAAACAAAGTAAAATGTTGCCTTCTGTTTGCGTATATCTGGTGATCCAGCAGCCGTATGTGTGTGTTGAGTGTAGTCACCCCCAGTCTCAGTGTAGGACTAACACACTGGTGGTTACAGTGTATATTTAGACTGTCTGGCAGCACCCTCAGGTGTACAAAAGCATTGCTTCAACTTTCATATCATCCATATGAAACACTGGCATCATTTAGTGAATGCCTGGACATATATCTCAGCATAACAAATCATTTCAGATTGTTAAGTTAAAACAGACTAAGGCAATTACAATTATCTAAGCTAAGTGCAAAACTGATCGTTTGTTTCCTAGACACTTATTTGATGGATGGCAGCTGACATGTATCAGCATCCTGAGAGCCCAGCTGTCTCTGTTTATTATTATTTTATTCTTCACTGATATCTGAAATACCTATTCCAACAATTTTATAAGCAGCATTGGGTCATAATTCACATTCATCTGATGAATTACAATTGCTTTTTTGCCTGATCCCTATGTTCCTATACCCAGCTGCTACCCCCTCCCCCAAACAGACATGCACTGCAGCCAACCAACCAACCAACCAACACGCACGCACACATGCACACACGCACACACACACCTCTGCTGTGTGTCATTATGCCTGCTTCCCCCACCCGTACACACATGCACACACATTTTAGCCATAGACCTTAAACTTGCTCCACACTTCTCATTCATGTATCCTTATACCTGCTATACACGTATGCACACACACACACACACACACACACATGCACGCACGTACGTACGCACCTGATCTACACACATCCTTACATACACTACATCCTGTGCATTATATATTAATCAGTATTTCCCATATATCAAGCTTCTGTGACCTATATTTTACACTTATTTCCTATATACATGTATTACTTTGTAGTCCCTGTTATATTACGGCTCTATTCCTTATTAATCATTCACCTGTTGAAGATGATACTGTTCAATATCATTAAGTGGGTAATGCACATGTCTATAACCAATACGCATGTGGGAACTAGTTTCATGAAAAATGCATTTAAACTCTCACTCACTGACATGGTGTGTAGAGAATATAGATCACTGAGAGTAGCTTATGCAATGCTGTTGCAAGGCTAACATCACATGGCATTGTTTTGTGAGTGTATCTCTATCTTGCAGCAAAATTTCACAATTTACGTAAAAGGGTATTCTCAGCTATTGTGACATGTTGGCAAACATTGTCATGCAGGGTCCCTATTCCGCAAAGTGACTGTAGCACAATGACAGTCATAAGTATAAGTGTTGGTGCAATGATCACCTTAGCATTACAATAGCTTTGTAGAACACACCCCTGAATTCTAAACGCTTTTGCATGTTATTTGATTCATACACATTAACTTTTAATGTGTTTGAAGTAATGTCATGTGTGTGTTGTCAATCCTGCCTGTTTACACACAACTGTGTAATTTGAAAAAAGCAAGAATAGCAGATAATAAATAAATTACTCAACCAATATCAATTTTATGAAACTGGTGTATGTTCTAACGAGCATCAGTGAGTCAAATACCAGCACTGCTTATTCAGTTCATAAAATTGTAATACATGGAGCATATTTAGTATGTGTTATATGCTATATATACATGACACACCTATTCCTTACACCATGCAGCTGTATTCCCTGTCTATTACACCTTTATTTGCTGTCTATTCTGTATCTAGTACACCTCTATTTCCTATCTAGTACATGCTTTACCCTGTTTATTACACCTCTGTTTGCTGTCTATTCTGTATCTAGTACACCTCTATTTCCTATCTAGTAATGCTTTACCCTGTTTATTACACCTCTATTTGCTGTCAATTCTGTATCTAGTACACCTCTATTCCCTATCTAGTACATGCTTTACCCTGTTTATTACACCTGTTTGCTGTCTATTCCATATCTCGTACACCTCTATTTCCTATCTAGTACACCCTTTTACCCTGTCTATTACACCTCTGTTTGCTGTCCAATTCATATCTAGTACACCTCTATTCCCTATCTAGAACATGCTTTTCCCTGTTTATTACACCTCTATTTGCTGTCCAATTCATATCTAGTACACCTCTATTCCCTATCTAGAACATGCTTTTCCCTGTTTATTACACCTCTATTTGCTGTCTATTCCATATCTTGTACACCTCTATTCCCTATCTAGTACACCCTTTACCCTGTCTATTACACCTCTGTTTGCTGTCTATTCCCTATCTAGTACACCCTTTACCCTGTCTAGTACACCTATTTTCTGTCTATTCTGTATCTAGTACACCTCTATTCCCTATCTAGTACACCCTTTACCCGGTCTATTACACCTCTGTTTGCTGTCTATTCCATATCTAGTATACCTATATTTCCTATCTGGTATGCCTGTATTCCCTATCTATTATACCTCTATTCCCAATCTAGTACACCTCTATTCCCCATCTAGTGCACCTATATACCCTTGCTATTATTCCTCTATTCCCTATCTAGTACACCTCTAGACCCCATCTAGCTAGTGCACCTATATACCCGATCTATTATACCTTTATCCCTATCTATTATACCTCTATTCCCTATCTAGTACACCTTTAGTCTCCATCTCACTCCGAAGACCCGGGTTCGATTCCCCACATGGGCACAATGTGTTAAGCCCTTTTCTGGTGTCCCCCGCCATGATATTGCTGGAATATTGCTAAAAGCGGCGTAAAACCAAACTCAGTCAGTCAGTGTAGTCTCCATCTGGTGCACCTATATCCCTAGCTATTATACCTCTATTCCCTATCTAGTATGCCTCTAGTCCCCATCTAGTGCACCTATATCCCTATCTAGTATGCCTCTATTCCCAATCTAGTGCACCTATATCCCTATCTAGTGCACCTATATCCCTATCTAGTACACCTCTATTCCCCATCTAGTGCACCTATATCCCTATCTAGTACGCCTCTATTCCCCATCTAGTACACCTATATCCCTATCTAGTACACCTCTATTCCCGATCTAGTGCACCTATATCTCTATCTAGTACACCTCTAGTCCCCATCTAGTGCACCTATATCCCTATCTGGTATGCCTCTATTCCCCATCTAGTGCACCTATAATTCCTATCTGGATATGACTGTATTCCCTATCTAGTACACCTCTATTCCCCATCTAGTGCACCTATATCCCTATTTATTATACCTCTATTCCCTATCTGGTATGCCTCTATTCCCCATCTAGCGCACCCATATTTCCTATCTTGTATGCCTGTAATCTCTATCTAGTACGCCTCTATTCCCCATTTAGTGCACCTAAATTTCCTGTCTGGTATGCCTGTATTCCCTATCTATTATATCTCTATTCCCTTTCTAGTACACCTCTATTCCCCATTTAGTGCACCTAAATTTCCTGTCTGGTATGCCTGTATTCCCTATCTATTATATCTCTATTCCCTTTCTAGTACACCTCTATTCCCCATCTAGTGGACCTATATTCCCTAGTTAGTATGCCTGTATTCTGTATCTTGTGCACATCTGTCCCTTATGTATTACACGTCTATTTCTTTCTATTACACATCTATTGTTTATCTAGTACACTTCTGTTCCCTATCTTTTACACCTCTATCATTTAAGAACATGTTGCTTATCATGCAATCATTTTTGAGAGTCCTCAGTATAATGTCAAACATAAGTAGGGTCCTTACAGTGTTATGTATGAATATGATGCATATTGTGATATCATATGTAAATAGATACTTGTGATATAATTTTGAAAAGGGTATGTATTATGCAATCAATTATGAATAGGGTTCCTACTGTGATATCATATATGAATGAGGTGATAATTGTTATTGTACTGAAACCTTCTATGTGTGTGAAAGGTTTATTTCAGACTCCTACATACTTTTATTTACATCTATTTTTCATGTATTTCTGAAATGCTACACAAACTCTCTTCCCTGCATTGTCAGTGATGGCTTAATACAAGGGCAAGGTCACTATCAGAAGGAAACCAGACAAATGTGATAATCTCAAGTGTCTACTGTAGTCATCAATATGGACAGCTGTAATGATCCCAGGTGTC